CTGCTCTACCCAGAATTCTATAGACTACTTATCCTGATCTTCCTTCTCTCACTTCTTGTGTTCCAATAGCAGTTTGATCTTTAAAAACATCTACATCAGCTTCCAGATTTATTACAGTGATCTGATGGCCTCCTTTATGTCCCCCAAATTCTACAGAAGGAAATGAATGATAATCCTGAATTCTTTTTGTATTTTCATTTAAAGGATTTTCATACCAAAAGACCAAAGAGACATAATTTGTACTGGCTCTGCAACCTTTTTCATCATGTATTCAGGCACACACTCTATCACACAGAAGGGGGAAGTGTGCAGGGCCAGGGCTGTGTGTGGTGCAGGCAGCTGGTGACACTGTCAAGTTTTCTGTTGGAGGCTGAAGCACTGTGGTAGGATCACTAATACCCTGCTGACAGTAATAAACTGCCAGGTCTTCATCCTGCACACTGCTGATGCTGAGAGTGAAATCCGTCCCAGATCCACTGCCTGTGAAGCGATTAGGGATCCCAGTGTGCCGAGTGGATGCATGGTAGATCAGCAGCTTAGGGGATTGCCCTGGTTTCTGCTGGTACCAGGCCAATAAGTTCTTTTTGCTGCTGCTGTGATAAAGGCTCTGACTGGACCTGCAGCTGATGGAGACCTTCTCTCCTGCTGACACAGCCAGGGAGGATGGAGACTGAGTCATCACGATGTCTGCACAGGCACCTGCAATCAGGAACACACAATGAACATGCTTATAGACACAAATACAGATTGTAAAAACAGTTACAATTTGCCACTTAATATATTTGTACTATCATGTTAGAGCATTATTATTGAAATATGAAATACTGAGCCTGGCAGACTCTAAGTTTCTTATTTATAATAAAGTGACTCTGTAAAGATTATAATAATTTGAGTTTCTCACCAGACACCCAAAGCAGCAGGGATATGAGAACATGGGTTTGTGACTTCATTTTGCTCCCCCTGATGTCTGATGCAGCTCAGTGTTCATTGCAAAGGCCTGGTTTATAAATTCTTAGCAGCTGGGCTGGGCTGTAGGGGGCCCATGCAAAGCAGTCAGTAAATACAAAAGCAAATGCCTGTGCAGTGTCTGTGAGTGTAGCTGGTGTCAATCAACAGTCAAAAATACTATTACAGGGAGCATGAGCAATCACTGAAAAAGATTGCCTTACGGCTCTCAAACAGAAAAGTAGCAGCTGCTCTAAGAGCAGACCTGGGTTAAAATCCGAGACATATTTAAATCAATTGACTTCTGTAGAAATGTTAGTAGAGCTATCTTAGACTGACAGTCCTAGAGAAATAATAGGATATGTTCAAACACATCACAACAACAACAACAAAAGAAACAGAGTAAGAAAGCATGCAATAAAAGAAAGGGAAGATGGAAGAAAAGATGAAAGAAAAAAAAGAGAATTGAGGCTAAATGTGTTCAATATTACTCTTCTCCAATGCCACTCTCAATGAAAACAAAGAACAGGGCCTCAGACATTTGGACTGTAGAAAGTGTTGAGGGAGTGATTTGAAGAAAAGACAGCTGGAATTGATGCATTTGAAGGATGATATGGTAGGAAAAACTGGAGCAATGGAAACTTTCTATAATATATGATGACAATCTGGCACAGATACATATTCTTTGGAAGTGGCATAAGTCATGACACCAGCACAGCTGCTTGACACAGTCCCAGCAGAGCTGAGCAAATTGGTACAATCACTGTCTTTATGTCACTAATTCGGGGTTTCGTTTCTGCATGTTGTATTCTTAGGGGTTTTCAGCATTGTGGTACATTTTATGTCTTTTCCTGAGAAAAAAATGATGCCTGAGTCTTTTTAGGAAAATCCTAAAATTAACCTACGTGACCATTATTTGGAAGTCTTCCTAATGTCTTGGAGACCCTAAGGACAGATAAGCATATAGCTTTGTGAGGCCATTGTTCCAGGAATCTTCTTAGGATATCAGCTCCTGAGCAAACTAAAACAGTGTAATTGGCATTAGGTAAAAAGACAATTTAGAAACCGTTACAGGTCAGGAAAATAACTTAGAGATTCAAGACCTCTTTTTAATACAGGCTTAGAGGTTTCAAAAAATGTGGTTTAATGACAGAGATCCTCAGGATATACATCTGAAGAAATGAAACTCAGTAATAAGACAGCTTGACTAAAATAAGCTTTTTGTATAGATTATGATACACATAGTAAAAAGGGTTAGTGGCTATTCATAAAAGACCAGTTCAGCTTTTTTCTATTTTCTGCAGTGCTCTTGGAATAGAAATATTGCCAGCCTAAAATTAGGCTGTCATATATTAAACATGTTCACTTTGGAGAAGACATTCTTTAGATTCTTTAAATTAGAGTTACACAATCAATAAATGGGACCTCATGAAACTGAAAAGCTTCTGTAAAGCAAAAGACACTGTCATCAGAACAAAACGACAGCCTACAGACTGGGAAAGGATCTTCACCAACCCTATATCTGACAGAAGGCTGATATCCAGCATATCCAAAGAACTAAAGAAGTTATAAATCAATAAATCAAGTAATCCAATTAAAAAATGGGGTATGGAGCTAAACAGAGAATTCTCTGTAGAGGATTATCAAATGGCAGAGAAACAAAGAAATGCTTAACATCATTAGCCATCAGCGAGATGCAAAACGACCCTCAGATTTCACCTTATACCCATCAGAATGGCTAAGATGAATAACTCTAGTGACAACACATGCTGGAGAGGTTGTGGAGAGAGGGGAACCCTCCTCCATTGCTGGTGGGAATTTAAACTGGTACAACCACTTTGGAAGTCAATCTGGCACTTTCTCAATTAGGAATAGTGCTTCCTCAAGACCCAGCTATATCATTCCTAGGCATATACCCAAAATTTGCTCAAGTACACAACAAGGACATTTGCTCAAGCATGTTTGTAGAAGCTTTATTTGTAATAGCCAGAACCTGGAAACAACCCAGATGTCCCTCAACAGAGGAATGGATACAGAAATTGTGGTATTTTTACACAATGGAATACTACTCAGCAATCAAAATAGAGGAAATCATGAAATTTGCAGGCAAATGGGGGATCTAGAAAAGATCATTTTGAGTGAAGTATTCTAGAAGAAGAAAGACACACATGGTATATACTTACTCATATATCCTATAAGATATGATAAACATAATGTAGTCTATACACATAAAGAAGATAAACAAGAAAGAGGTCCCGGGGTAAGATGACTAATCCTCACTTAGAAAGATAAATGGGAGGTGCATTGGACATAGGAGAAAACAAGTAACAGGACAGGAGCCTACCGCAGAGGGTCCCTGAGAGACTCTACTTAGCAGTGTATCAAAGCAGATACTAAGACTCATAACCAAACCTTCGGCAGAGTGCAGGGAAACATATGAAAGAAGGGGGAGTTTGTATGATGGGGAAAGGATAGGAGCTCCACAAGGACCAAATATATTTGGGCACAGGTGTCTTTTCTGAGACTGACACTCCACCAAGGACCATGTATGGATATAACCTAGAACCTCTGAAAGGATGAAGCCCGTGGTAGCTCAGTATCCCACTGGTTTCCTATAAGAAGGGGAACAGAGACTATTTCTGACAGGAATTCAATGGCAGGCTCTTTGACCTCCCCACCCGCCAAGGGAAGAGCAGTGCTGCTAGGCCACAGAGAAGGACTTTGCAGCCAGTTCTGAAGATTCCTGATAAAATAGGATCAGATGAAAGGGAAAGAGGTCCTCCCCAATCAGTGGACTTGGAAAGGGGCAGGGAGGAAATGAGGGAGAGAGGGAGGGTTTGGGAGGGAATGAGAGAGCAGATACAGCTGGGATATAGAGTTAATAAAATGTAACTAATAATAAAAAAATAAAATAAAATAAAAAATGTTTTACAGGGGTAATAAAACAATAAAAGCTGTTCCGTTTGTATTTACTACTTGTAAATGACATTGTAACTTTAGACATGTAATGAAAAATCAAACACATAATCTATGCCACTTGGGTAATCATTAGTCTGTCTTTTTTTTTTCTGTGAATCTTGAATAAATAAAAGAACACCTGGTTGCTAGAAGTCAGATCCACCTAAGTGGCATAACTGTTAGTCAATCAGCTGTAAGATTCCCCTGACCATCATCCTGGATGACTTCCTCCCCTCACTGACTCCTCTTCTCTTTTGTGGACTGCCCTGTCAGCATCAGCAAATACCCTCCACATCTTCTCTCTGCCCTGGACAAAGCCCATAGAGAATGTTAACAGTGTCACCAAGTAACAAGAGTAATAAAACTCAAAGAGAATGATAAAACACAAAATAATAAGAATGATTAAACACAAAATCTTGTCACCAAACGAAGATTTCAGTGTCTTGACTGAATTATATACATTTGACTTTGTGGCTTAAACAGTCCCAAAGAAATAATCAAATCATCCAGGCTAGTGTAGTGCTCTCTGCAAACTGAAAACAAGACCCCATTGCTGAGGACAACACCCATAAATTTTATTGAACATGAAGAAGTTAATCTAGCGCCTTTACTCTGGTTCTTAGACTTCCCAGAAAACAAATCAGTTATGGATTCCATCTCAAGAAGTGGGTCTTAATAAAAACTAGACAACTGTTTTTCAGTCCTATAGGGTTGGTGGCAGTGTTATCTTATCCTATTTTTCAGGGAGCACAGTTTGTAAATCAAAGGCTTGGTGGTTGGGTTGGTGGATACTTTCCTCTATTGGCAGCCTAGAAAGTATATTTCCATGTCATAAACATTATAACATGGGGGCGAGGGCTCCAGGTAGGCACCAGCTCAAATTCTCCATGATCAATGATTTGTTTGTGTGTTTCCCTCTGCAATGAGAAACCAATGTTAGTTTGCAGAAAGAAAGGTTATGTCTTAGCAACAGCCTGTTACGGTGGTATTGGGGATTGCTGTGGGACCCCATTGGCCAAAGCTGAACTGAATGCAATCTAGTCCTGCCACTGGAGGTCTCACCTGCTACAGTGATGAACAATTGAAGCTCCATATCCTTTAGCACTAGGAGTCCTCATCAGTGTCACCTTTGTAGCTTCCAGGAAGTTTCCACTACACTGTGTTTCTATCCCACCACAACATAACCCCCAGTTCCATCTGTGTCTTTCCACACTCTCCCCTTCACCCCATTCCCCTCAAAATTTGTTCCACTGCTTCCATCCTTACCTGTCCCATTTCTACTCTGACATGAACTGATTTGCCTGGTCTTTAATTACCTCCCCGTGAGGGGGAAGCAGCATTACCAGGCCACAGAAGAGGACAAGGCAGCCACTTCGGGTGAGACCTAATTGACTAGGATCAGAAGGAAGGAAAAGAAGACCTCCCCTATCAGTGGACTTGGGGAGGGGCATGCATGCAGAGGGTGGAGGAAGGGAGGGATTAGGATGGGAGGAGGGAAGGAACCACGGGGGGGGGGGATACAAAGTGAATAAAGTGTAATTAATAAAGAAACAATTAAAAAAAATAAAAAGAAGAAGAAAAAAAATCTGCTCTGGTTTACCTCTGCCAGGGAAATTCATGCATCCACTCTCGACCCATCATCTTTACTTACATTCTTTGGGTCTACACACTTCAGCTTGCTTATCACTTGCTTTGAGGCCCATAACTAGTTACACAGGAATACATACCATATTTAACTTTCTGGGTCTGGGTTACCTCATTCAAGATGATTATTTTTCCAGCTCCCCCCTCTCCTTTGCTGGCAAATTTTATGATGTCATTTTTCTTGAATAGCCAAGTACTATTTCATTTTGTAAATGCACAACATTTTTTTTGTTTGTTTGTTTGTTTTTTGGTTTTTTTTTTAATCCAATCTTCAGTTGTTTCCATTTCCTGGCTATGATGAATAAAGGCAAAATGAACATGGTAGAGTGATTTACCTTGTGCTAAGTTGGAGTGTCCTTTGAGTACATGCCCAAGAATTATATAGATTGGTGTTGAGGTAGATAGAATATGAGTTTT